ATAAGCTCAGCTGAGAGCATCATCACCTCTGCTCCTTTCTTAAGCTGGTTAATTGCTTCAATGATTGAAGCTGGCGATGAGCTCTTGTGCTTTCTTACTTGCTCACGAATTAATGTTGATTGGGCCTCAAGCTCATGTACGTTGCTTGGTGTACGAGCCTGCCAGACAGCCTCTGGCAGAGCAGCTGGAGTAGGCGTACGCAGCTGGACGTCCAGCTTCGACAGAACAGCGCCTGGCTGGAGAGGCACAAGGCCTGCGCCTTGAAAGGCTGAGCAGATATTAGCTGTTGTAAACGCGCTATCAAAGGCTGCCTTAAAGGCTGGCAGGAATTCAAGCTTTGTGATGTGGTTGATGTAGTGGCGGATTAGAGCCTCAATCTCGTGGCTGTACGCGCGCTTCAACAGCGAGAAGCAGCCAACGTCAAGCGGCTGCAGCAGATGGGATGAGTGAGGCGGCATACAGAGCGTGTAGATATTGTTCTCCTTGCAGAGCTCCTCAAACTCAAGAGTGGTGGCTCTTGTGGCTATCAAGGATAAGCAGCCTACGCGCGCCAACTACCTTGCCCTCTGTATGCTTGATAAAGTGCTTCAGCCACTCAACTCCTAGCTCATTGTTCGTCCAGCCATTGTCGCTAACTGCGATCGCCCAGTCGTGCGGGATTGCTGCCTCTTCGTACCAGGCAGACAGGTGATACTGGCCAGCAAAGATGAGAAACGGTGGAATTGGCCAGCCAGCGGCATTGATTGCAGCAATCACTGTCACCCACTCACGGTCACCAGGCTGGATAGCCTTTGGCCTGCCTCTTCTCTCTGACCCTGTCACAACGAGCTGAGTTGTGATCTTGCCCATCATAAAGCCAGCCTCGTCAAAGTTATAGATGTCCTTGTCACAGATACCCCACTTGGCCTTTGTCCGCTCTACAAGCTCAAACCAGCCTTGGATAAGGACAGGATCCTCATACAGAGCTCTCTGCCTATCGTACGGCCGATTAAAACGCGTCGTAAGACTGTCTGTACACTTGACAAAGTTGCGTGGCCAGTGGATGCCAACGCAACCTTGTCATCCTGACATGGCTTGCAGCCAACAACAACCCTACCAGTCTTTATACTTGTGTTAGCTCCTATTTGTCAGC